GAGATTTCAAATCTGCCATCAAAAAGCAATTTTCTAAAAGTGACATCAAGAAATCCTTTCAAGTACATTACTTTATTTATCTTTTCATAAAAAAAATGACACGAAAAAAAATCAGTAATTTTTATAAAAGTAAATTTAAAAATTTGAACAAAAAGGAACTTTCCAATTCTTTCTTTAGCTAAAAATAAAAAATTTTCTAATTGATTTTTATCGAATGACAAATATTGACATTTCAATATCGCATAAGATGACAGTTTGTGTATTTATTCAAAAAAAAAAAAAATGTACCACGAAAACTGTTTTTCTCTTTCTCTCTCTCTTTCTCTCTCTTCGTTTTTCATTACTTTTGCCTTCCGTTTTCTTTCTTAAGCCACCGGAACAAGATGGAATAAATTCTCCTTATTGTATGTGTATGTGTGCGTTTCTCGACTTCAAGTCGCAGAAATAAACAACTTTTCAAAAAAAAAAAAAAAAGAACGAAAAGTACATCAAGAGAACTTAAAAACTTGGAACTCGGGGGAGGTTTTATCCTTTCATTCAACGTTTCACCATATTAGTAAAGAAACTTCTATCTAACGCTTTTGCATTTTGATAAAAAAGAAAAAAAAATTGAATTACCTTTTTGAATAATAATTATTACAAAAAATAATCGAAAAAGCAATAAAATTAATTTGTCGCTTATTATTATTGTTTTAAAGTCATAAATTCAAAAAAAATTTCGATTTCTATAATCATGTATTTTGATCTTCAAAGTCAAAATTTTAATGTAAAAAGTCAAAATTTTGAATTTCTAAATCAAATTTTTGATTTTTTTAAACCTAGTCGTCATTATACTCGTTTTCTACTAAAATAAGGTCGGGGATTTCAAATCTAACATTAGAACAAGTTTTAAATATAAATTAAATAAAAGTGATAGAAAAATTCATTATTAATTATAAAAAAAAAAATATTAAATAAATAATAAAATTTATCTTTTCATTGACTGATTTATATTCTGTTTTTTCGATTGAATGAAAAGAAAAAAAAAAGATAAAGAAATAGCGAGAGAAAGGAAACTTATTTTCTTTTTTCAATTCTCTCTCGAATGGCGTGCTTTTACTCATAAATGAAATATTTTCATTTCTTAATAGAATCACTGTTCTCTATTTTATTCTGACGAAAAAAAAAATAAAAAAGAAACAAAAGAGAAAAAAAATAAGAAAAGAAAAATGAGGGGTTGAAAATATTGTGTCGAAAGGGTATATGTATATATGTATATAAAGAAAGACGCAGGCGCCTTGCCGAAAACATACGCGAGTCAATAGCTGACTCACGCACCTACTCTACACCTCCTATTATAAATATATACATATTATATGTACATACATTCAGAAACACTCGGGGAATAAAAGGGATATAAGCAAATATAAATATTCACCAAAAAGTATTATTCGTAATAAGTAGTCGAATGAGAAAACACTCTTTACATATAATTCATTATATTATCAGTTCACTCTGTTCTCCCTCCCTTCTTCTATATATATAAATATTTACTTTTTTTCCTCTCAAAAATACGAGATCAAGTTATTTGTATGAGAAAAAGTAATTCTTATTGTTTTTATTGTTCTTTTTTTATTATTTCATTAGGGGTCATCATTTCAAAATTAGGTCCATATTTAGTCGTTATTATACTCGTTTTCTACTAAAATAAGGTCAAAGATTTTTAAAAAGTCAAAATTTTGAATTTTAAATTCAAAATTTTTATCTTCAAAAATCAAAATTTTGATTTTTTAAAAATTCCGTCGTTATTATACTCGTTTTCTACTATAATAAGGTCAAGGATTATAAAAAAATTAAAATTTTGAATTTTAAAATCAAAATTATCTTCAAAAATCATAATTTTGATTTTAAAAATTTCGTCTTCATTATACTCGTTTTCTACTATAATAAGGTCAGAGATATTTAAAAAATCAAAATTTTGAATTTTAAAATTAAAATTTTTATCTTCAAAAATCAAAATTTTAAATTTTGAAATCAAACTTTTGATGTTTTTAAAACTCCGTCGTCATTATACTCGTTTTCTACTAAAATAAGGTCAGAGATTTTTAAAAAATCAAAATTTTCATCTTCAAAAATCAAAATTTTGATTTTTTTAAAACTCTGTCGTCATTATACTCGTTTTCTACTAAAATAAAGACAATATTAATATTATTAGATGAGAAAATTTTAAAAGAGCAAAATGTTGAATTTAAAAATCAAAATTTTTTTCTTCAAAAATCAAAATTTTGAAATCAAACTTTTGATTTTTTTAAAACTCCGTCGTCATTACACTCGTTTACTACTAAAATATGGTCAGAGATTTTTAAAAAATCAAAATTTTCATCTTCAAAAATCAAAATTTTAATTTTTCTTAAACTACGTCGTCATTATACTTGTTTTCTACTAAAAGAAGGACAAAAATATTTTTAAAAAATCAAAATTTTGAATTTTAAAGTCAAAATTTTTATCTTTAAAAATTAAAATTTTGAATTTTGAATTTTGAAATCAAAATTTTGATTTTTTTTAAAAATCCGTCGTCATTATACTCGTTTTCTACTAAAACAAGGTCAGAGATTTTTAAAAAATCAAAATTTTCATCTTCAAAAATCAAAATTTTGATTTTTTTAAAACTCCGTCGTCATTACACTCGTTTTCTACTAAAACAAGGTCAGAGATTTTTAAAAAATCAAAATTTTCATCTTTAAAAATCAAAATTTTTGATTTTTTTGAAACGCCGTCGTCATTATACTCGTTTTCTACTAAAATAAGGTCAGAGATTAAAAAAACATCTAAATTTTGAATTTGAAAGTCAAAATTTTTATCTTTAAAAATCGAAATTTTGAATTTTGAATTTTAAAATTAAAATTTTGATTCTTTTAAAACTCCGTCGTCATTATACTCGTTTTCTACTAAAACAAGGTCAGGGATTCTGAAAAAATTAAATTTTCATCTTCAAAAATCAAAATTTCAATTTTTTTAAAACTCCGTCGTCATTATACTCGTTTTCTACTAAAATAAGGTCAGAGATTTAAAAAAAATCGAAATTAAGTTCATATTTAGTGAAACTGTAGGTCAGAGGGCAAACATAACCTGAAAATTAGGTCTATATTCATAAGTCAGAAGCAAAAATAAATATTAACTAAATTAAATATTAAATAATAGATTCAATTTTACTGTTTTCCAAAAAAATAAGGATTAGTTTTATAATGAAGAGTCAAATGTTTATGAGGAAAATTTGTAAAAGTTGAAATGCTCTCAATGTCCTGCCCTGGAGTTGCCTGGAGTTAAAAGAGAATCTAAAACACACTCTCTTGTGTCTGTGGGTGAATATGCATATATATATAAACATAAAATATACATATACAAAATACAATATACATGTAGACGTAAAATATGGACATAATATTCCAAGCTTGGTGCTCATAAAGACCCCATATAGTATACTGTATGAAAGAAACTTTCCCCCACCTCCTCCACTCCTTTCCCCGAAAAAAATGGAACAAATTCACCTCTCGATATGATTATCTGACCATTTTGTATACCGTTCATAAATCTCGAAGGAATTTTTTATTTAAATTTTGTCAGAAAATTCTATACATAATTTCTATAACCAAAACGAAAAATAAAACATTTAAAAACAAAAAAATTTCCAAAAAATCAATTATTTAAGAAAATTTTTATATAATAAATAAATAAATAAATAAATACAATTTTAATTAAATATTTGTGAAATAAATTCAATTATTCTTTTATATGTTAATAAAATTCTTCCCAAGAATTCAATTATTTACAAAAACAATTCAATTATTTTGAGGCATTTTTATAAAATTCTTTGCAAATTTCAATTATTTTCATAAATAATACAATGCTTCTTATGAATTCAATTATTTTTAAAAATAACAAAATTTTTACAGTAATTCAATTCTTTTTAACCATTTTAATAAAATTCTTTGAAAAATTTAATTATTTTCATAAATAACAACATTCATAACGAGAATTCAATTATTTTTAAAAGTAATAAATTTCTACTTGGAAATTCAATTATTTAAAAAAATTCTAATAAAATTTTTCGCAATAATTCAATTATTTTCATAAATAATAGATTCTTCTCACGAATTCAATTATTTTCGAAAATTATATAATAAAATTCTTTGCAACTATTCAATTATTTTCATAAATAATAATAAAATTTATCGCCGAATTCAATTATATTTAATACAATTATACAGAAATTCAATTTTTTTTAACCATTTTAATAAAATTCTTTGCAAAATTTAATTATTTTGATAAACAACAATATTCATCAGCAGAATTCAATTATTTTTAAAAGTAATAAATTTCTACTTGGAAATTCAATTATTTTAACAAATTCTAACAAAATCGTTCGCAGGAATTCAATTATTTTCAAACAAATTGAATAAAAAGCCATACAGACATTCAATTATTTCCAAAAATTTTAATAGAATTCTTTGTAAAATTTAATTTTTTTAAAAAAATATTTCTCACATCAATGATTTTCAACATCTACTATTTTCATAAAATTCCCAAACAGAATTCAATTATTTAAAAAAAAATTGTGTAAAAATAAAAAAAAAAAAAAAAAAAAAAAAAAAATATTATTATAATATTATTATTATATTATTCAAAAACCAAAAAATTTATAATATATTAATTATTAATTTATAATTCATTTATATAATAATTTCTATATAATATAGAATTTTAATACATTCAATTCTTTAAAATTATAATTTATAATTATAAAAATTATAATTATTGTTAGGGGGGGGATAGAGGAAGAAATTTAATAGTAAATATAAAAAAACGATATTAATTTGATTCATAAAATTAGATAAGAATTGTAAAAATTAATATAAATTAAGAACAAGATAAAGTAAGTAGATAAAGAAATAAATAAATTATTTAATTATAAAGAAAGTAAGCATTAATAAAATTCGCAGAGAAAAAAAATCAAAATTTACCGTTCTATCATCAACGTAGATGGAATGATGAGCGCCAAAAACGAGCGTAAGCATCGAAATTAATACGTGAAGGATCATTTTTTCTTCCACCCTTTTATTTTTGGTAAATGGTCGAATTTTATAATCCAAAGAATACAAGGCACTTTTTTTTTAAATCATAAAATACACTTAGCACTTGTAATTAAAAATGGACACATTTTTTTTTATTAAAAAAAAAAAAAAAATTGGATTCGATCAAAAAATCGATCCTTTATCACTGTACACAACACGGGACGTGGATCATTTTTCGATCGCTCCTTCGTGACATCGACATCGACATCGTCACGACAATATCAATGCACGTTTTAAAACACAACACACACTTGGTTTTTCATTTGTAATATGCGGCTCTCCTGCTCCCTTCCACTTTCTCGCTCTGTCTTGTTTTTTTTTCTCTCTCTTATAGTTATGGAATAAAATCCTCCGTGTGTTGGAGAGTGGATTTAAGGAAAAAAAAAAATAGTGGGGAGATTGAGGCACTGAAGAAAAGAGGGGTTTTTTTCTCAAGGCACTTTACTTTTGTTGAGTGTTTTGCACTTTTACACTTTTTTTCGATTCTTTGTCACTTTGACACTTTCACAGCTAGTTTTTCTTTTGACTCTTTATTACTTTTTATTTTTGACTCTTTGCCACATTCAAATTTTTATTCTTTGTCACTTTTATTGTTTGACTCCTTCACTTTCTGACTCTTTGTCACTTTGAAGTTTTGATTCTTTGTCACTTTGATTTTTTGACTCCTTCACTTTCTGACTCTTTGTCACTTTGAAGTTATGATTCTTTGTCACTTTGATTTTTTTACTCCTTCACTTTTTGACCTTTTGACACTTTGAAGTTTTAACTCCTTGCCCCTTTTTGGCTTCTTGGCACTTTTTGACACTTTGTCACTTTGAATTTTTGACTACTTCACTTTTCGACCTTTTGCCACTTTGAAGTTTTGACTCTTTATCACTTTTTGACTCTTTGTTACTTTTTGACTATTTTCCACTTTTTGACTCCTTGTCACTTTTTTACACTTTATCAATTTTATATTTCGACTCCTTCACTTTTTGGCTCCTTGTCACTTTTTTTACACTTTATCAATTTTAATTTTTGACTTTTTCACTTTTTGACTCCTTGTCACTTTTTCACTTTGTCAATTTTAATTTTTGACTCCTTCACTTTTTGACTCTTTTCCACTTTGAAGTTTTGACTCTTGGTCACTTTAAATTTTTGACTCTTTTACTTTTTGACTCTTTGTCACTTTGACACTTTGACGCCTAAAATTTTTGACTTTTTGATTCTTGAACACTTTTCGACACTTTTTATTTTTTCAAAATGGAGTATTAAGTACTAGATTTTTATATGATTGTTGTTTATATCCTACAAAGAGAAGTTAAAGCCGTTTTTCTTGCTCACACTTTTTTCACTTTCCAATTAAAGAAAAAGAATTTTTTTTAATTTTCCAGAAATATTCTATTTAATAGAAATTCATAAATTCTTTAAAAAAAAAAAAATATTTGGTTGAAAAATAAAATTTTCTTTTGTTCCAGTTGTATGGGATTTAAAATTTTTATGGGGTTGTTAAATAGTCGTTTTTCTTCATTGACTCGTTTTGTGTATTGTTTATTAAGCTTTTTTTCTAGTTTCGTTCTTTATAGCTTCTTTAGTGTTTTGCTCTTTATGGCTCGTTTGAAAATTTCTTTTTTTAATAGTCGTCGTTATTTTTCGAACGCTTTTCCGGTTTATTTCTTCTTTATATTTTCCTGTTTTCTATCTTCATTATTTTTTGCTGCTTTCTTTATATTATTTCTTTACTATTTCTTCAAAATTTTTTCTTTACTCTTGAGTTTCCTTTCTTTATTCTTTAATTTCTTTTTTTAATCTTCAGTTTCCTTTCTTTATACTTTAACTTCGTTTTCCTCAATTTCTTTTCTTTATTCTTGAATTTTCTTTCACTGTTCTTCAAATTTTTTTCTTTTCTTGAATTTCCTTTCTTTATTTTTTAAATTTAGTTTCTTTCTTTTTTAGTTTCCTTTCTTTATTCTTGAATTTCCTTCCTTTATTCCTTAATTTCTTCCTTTCCTTTTTAATTTCCTTTTTTTATTCTTGAATTTCCTTTCTTTATTCTTGAGTTCCCTTTTTTATTCTTGAATTTCCTTTAATTACTTTTCAATTTTCTTTCTTTATTCTTTAATTTTCTTTCTTTATTCTTTAATTTCCTTCCTTTCTTTTTTAATTTCCTTTTTTTATTCTTAAATTTCCTTTCTTTATTCTTGAATTCCCTTTTTTATTCTTGAATTTCCTTTAATTACTTTTCAATTTCCTTTCTTTATTCTTTAATTTCCTTTCTTTAGTTTTTAATTTCGTTTCTTTCTTTTTTAGTTTCCTTTCTTTATTCCTTTATTTTTTCCTTTCCTTTTAAATTTTCTTTCTTTATTCTTGAATTTTCTTTAATTACTTCTCAATTTCCTTTCTTTATTCTTGAATTTTCTTTCTTTATTTATTAATTTCGTTTCTTTCTTTGTTCGTTTCCTTTCTTTATTCTTGAATTTCCTTTCTCTATTCCTTAATTTCTTCCTTTCTTTTTTAATCTCCTTTCTTTATTCTTGAATTTCCTTTTCCTTACTTTTTAATTTCGTTTCTTTCTTTGCTCGATTCCTTTCTTTATTCTTGAATTTACTTTCTCTATTCCTTAATTTCTTCCTTTCTTCTTTAATCTCCTTTCTTTATTCTTTAATCTCCTTTCTTTATTCTTGAATTTCCTTTTCTTTATTTTTTAATTTCCTTTTCTTCTTTAATTTTCCTCCTTAATTTTTCTATATTCTTGAATTTTTCTTTTTTATTATTTTTTTTTAAATTTCTTTCGGTTCTTTCTTTATTCTCCAATTTTCTTGAATTTTCTATTCTTCTTTTTCTTCTTCTTTTTCTTCTTTCTATTCTTCTTTTTCTTCTTCTTTTCTGTCTTCTTTCTTTATTTTTCTATTTTCTTAAATTTGCTTCTTTATTATTATTTCTTTATTTTCCTAAATTCTTCTATTTTTCTCAATAGTTTTTCTTTATTCTTTTATTTTCTTCTATTTTCTTCTTTACTTCTTCTATTTTCTTGAATTTTCCTTGACTATTATTTCTTCTTTTATATTTACATTTTTCTCCTTTACTATTCGATTCATCTTATTATTTACATTTCTTTTTTCAAAAATATCTTTAATTTCTATTCTCTCTTCTTTTTTTCTATTTCTTCTTTTTCTTTATTTCCTTTTCCACTATTTTTCTTGATAGAATTTTTTTGTGTCAATTTTTTTATTAATTTTTTCTCTCTCTTTTTTTCTTTCTTTCTTTCTTTCTTTCTTTCTTTCTCTACTCAATTTTTTTTCAAATTTGTTGTCTTCACGTTTTTTATCCCTTTTTTCTTTTTCTTCTTCTTCTTCTTCTTCTGATATTTGACTTTCGTTGTCACTCGGCAAAATTTTTTCTTCTCTTCGTCGTTTTTATACGTTTCTTTTTTTCTACTTTTTTATATTATTTCCTCCCACTGTGTCTCGTCGTCGTCTTCTTCTTCTTCCTCTTTTTTTTATTATTTTTCCCCTCTAATTCCTTTGTTCTCGTCTCTCATTCTTTATTCCCTTGTCTTTCCGCTTCCTCTCGGTCTTCTTGGCGACTTAATATTTATACTCGTGTGTCGTTAAAAAAATATTCCTAGAAAATATTCTCCTTTTTTTTAATTAATATTTGTTAAAAAATATTCTCTTTTAATTAATATTTGTTAAAAAATATTCTTTTTTAATTAATATTTGTTAAAAAATTTTCTATTTAGTTAATATTTTTCAAAAATTAAATTATTATTTAATTACAATCAATATTTGTAAAAAATATTTTAAATCTTGTTCTTTTATCAAATTTTCTGTTCCTGAGGTTTCTTCTTGGCTTTTCTTGAAAAAAAAATTATTTTCTTCGTTTGGTTATGGAAAAATATTTTTTGCTTTTCTATTTTTTAAGTCAAAAAGCGTTGAAAAAGGTGAAATTTTTGTTCTCTCTTTAAATTTTTGGTTTCAGAGAAATTCTTTTTGTTTTTCTCGTTTTTCAAGTCGAAAAGCGTAGAAAAAGGGAAAAAAAATTTTTCTTTTTGGAAAATTCGAATGTTGAGGAGAAGATTTGGATTTGAAAGTTTCTCTCTGAATTGAGTGGGGGCAGTGGGGGAATTCTTTTTTTTTTTTGGATTTGTCCCTGAATTAGAGGAAAATTGAGGTCCTTTGTCGATTTCCTGCAAATGAAATTCCCAAACTCTGCCAATGCCGAGGGAGAGGGGGAAAGATCTTTAGAGGGATAGGAGATTGCTTCCTCTTGGTTTACCACTCGATGCCAAAGTGTCACGGATTTTCAATTCACTGCCCATTCAGCGTTTCTCGAATCTTTAGATATTGTTCCACTTTTCTTATTTCTTTTTTTCTCTTTTCCTTCCTCTTCTCCTTTCCCTTCTTTTTCCTCTTTTCTTTCTTCTTTTTCTTCTTTTTTCCTCTTCTTATTCTTCTTCTTCTTTTTCCTTTCCTTCTTCTTCTTTTTCTTCCTCTTTTTCCTTTTCTTCTTCTTCTTCTTCTTTCTCTTTTTCCTTTTCTTCTTTTTCTTCTTTTTCTTCTTTTTCTTCTTTTTCTTCCTCTTTTTCCTTTTCTTCTTCTTTTTCCTTTCTTTCTTCTTCTTCTTCTTCTTTCTCTTTTTCCTTTTCTTCTTTTTCTTCTTTTTCCTCAATTTTTTGTTGTTTATCACTTTCTCCAATCTCTCGCTTCTTGGAAACTTGAAGGAAATTTACTAAAAGAAATATATTTTCCACTGGAAACTTTCGGAAACTTTAAGAAAACTATATTTTCTCGAAAATTTATTTTGGAAAAATTAAGGAAAATATTTAGGGAAATTTTTTTTTTTTTCTTTAAACTTTTTGGAAATTTGCTAGAAAAATATAGTTTTCTTGGAAACAAACTGAAAATTCAAAGGAAATTTACTGGAAAAATATATTTTTCTGGAAAATTACTGGAAACTTTGGAGAAAGTTACGGAAAAGTATTTTTTTTTTCTTTCGGAAATTTTGCGGAAAACTTCAGGGGAATTTACGGAAAAATTATTTTTTCGTTCGGAAAATTATTGGAAAAGCTTTGGGGAAATTTACGAAAAAATCTTTTTTTCGTTCGAAAATTTACTGGAAGAATATTTTCCGGAAAGCTTATTGATAAATATTCTTTTGGGAAAATCTTTATGGATTTTCTTTACTATTTCCTCCTTTTTTTTCTTTAAGAACTGATTTTTTTTTTTTTTTGTTTAAAATTCCTTTCTTTCAAAAAGAGTCAAAAAAATATTTATTTGCAATTTTTTTCGTATCCTGATTATTTTTTTTTATCGTTTCTAAAAATTCAGCGTCGTTTTAGAGTCGTCGGAAGTTCTTTTTTCCTTTTTTTTTTTTTTTTTTGTCTTAGACTAGAAAAATAGAAGTAACTTAAAAATGTCTTATTGTCGTCGTCTTCCCCCCTCTCTCGGTGATAAATCTTGACAAGTACTTTCTGTGGCAGTGATTTGAGGAATTTAGAGAGAGAGAGAGAGGCTGATGGTTTCAGATTGCAGTCTCTTCATAGATTTTTTCTTTTTGTCTTTTTTTCCTCTTTTTATTGTTTTTTTCCTTTTTTGTTCTTGGACGGATGAAACAGTCGACTTCTTCTTGAAAAAGTGTGACAGTGCCAGATTCTAGAGTCGCTGATGCAAAATTAATTCGAACGAATTCTGGAACGCAAGCTCGCTCGCTCTCTCGCCCTGGCGCTGCTTCCGGTTTCCGGACGATATATAGCTGAAAAAAATAAAATACAAAGATTAAATTTATTCTTCTTTTTTGGCTCAATTTTTCTTTTATTTATTTTTTTTTTAATTTCTCTTTTTCGTTTTTTCTTTTTTTTCCCATTTTTTCTTTTTTGCTCCATTTCTTTTTTCCTTTTTTCCATTTTTCTCTTTTATACTATTTTTCTTTCTTTTTTCTATTTTCGTTTCTTTTTTGTTAATTTTTATTAATGAATCATTATAATTTGAGAGTAAACACAGTTTTTTTTCTTTATTTTTTGTATTTTGTTTTGTTTGATTAATTTTTATTAACAAATCATTATATTTTGAGAGTAAGTACAGATTTTTCATTAATTTTTATTTTCTTGTTTGTTTTTTGTTAATTTTTATTACTGAATCTTTATATATTGCGAGTAAAATAGGTGTATTTTAAAGATTTTCTTTTCTAAATAAAAAACTTATTTTAGTTTATTTAGTTTTATTTATTTATTCGAATTGAATTGAATTGATTCGACTTAAATTAAATTTAATCGAATTGAATTGAATTTAATCGAATTAGAGCGGTTATAATTAAAATTATTCGAATTAAATTAAGTTTAATCGAATTTATTTGATTCGTATTGAATTGTATTTAATTTAATCAAATTGAATTGTATTTAATTTAATCAAATTGAATTTTATTCAATTTAATCAAATTGAATTGCATTTACTTTAATTTAATTAAACCAATTTGAATTGAATTGATTCGAATTAAATCGAGTAGAATTGTATTCAATTTAATCGAATTGAATTTAAACAAATTAAACCGATTAGAATTGAATTGAATCGATTTGAATTGAATCTAATTGGATTTAACTTAACGAAATTTAATTTATTCGAATTGAATTGATTCGTATTGAATTGTATTTAATTTAATCAAATGTAATTTTTATTCTTATTCAATTTAATCAAGTTAAATTGAATTAAATTGAATTTAATCGAATTAACTTGAATTTAATCAAATTGAATTGAATATAATTGAAATTAATCGAATTAAATTAATATTAATCGAATTAAATTGAATTTAATCAAATTAAATTGTTTGGAATAAAATTGAACTGAATGGATTCGTATTGAATTTAATTTAATTTAATTTAACATAATATAATTGAATAAATTGATTCGATTTGAATTAAATCTAATTGAATTTAACTTAATGAAATTGTATTGTTTTTAATTGAATTGTATTTCATTTTATCGAATTAAATTTAATTTCATAAAATTAAACCAAAAAAAAATTAAATTGATTTAAATTGAATTGAATTTAATCGAATTCAATTTAATCCAATTAAAATTTTTCGAATAAAATTGAATTGAATTGATTCGAATTGAATTGAATTGAATTTAATTTAATGGAATTGAATTGTATTTTATTGAATCTAATCAAATTACATTTCATGGAATGAAACGAAAACGAATTGAATTGATTTCAATTAAATTCATTTTTACCGAATTGAATTTAATTTAATCGAATTAAAACGATTAGAATTGAAATAATTCGAATTAAATTGAATTTCATAGAATTAAATTGAATTTAATTGATTCGAATTGAATTTAATTTTATAGATTTGAATTGTATTTTATTTAATGTAATCAAATTCAAATTCATCGAATGAAACCTAAAAGAATTTATTCAAATTGTATTCAATTTAATCGCATTGCATTGAATTTAATCGAATTACAATGATTAGAATAGAATTGATTTGAATTAAATTTAATTTAATCGAATTGAATTGATTGGAATGAAATTGAATTTAATCGAATTGAATTGATTTGAAATCAATTGTTTCAAATAAAATTGAATTGAATATAGTAGAATTGAATTAATATAATTGAAATGATTCAAATTGAATTGTTTTGAATAAAATTGAATTGAATTTAATAGAATTGAATTGATATAATTGAAATGATTCGAATTGAATTGTTTTGAATAAAATTGAATTGAATATAATAGAATTGAATTGTTTCGAATAAAATTGAATTGAATTCAATAGAATTGAATTGTTTTGAATAAAATTGAATTGAATTGAATTAATATAATTGAAATGATTCGAATTGAATTGTTTTGAATAAAATTGAATTGAATTGAATTTAATAGAATTGAATTGATTCGAATTTAATTGTTTTGAATAAAATTGAATTGAATATAATAGAATTGAATTGTTTCGAATAAAATTGAATTGAATTCAATAGAATTGAATTGTTTTGAATAAAATTGAAATGAGTTGAATTAATATAATTGAAATGATTGGAATTGAATTGTTTTGAATAAAATTGAATTGAATTTAATAGAATTGAATTAATATAATTGAAATGATTCGAATTGAATTGTTTTGAATAAAATTGAATTGAATTGAATTTAATAGAATTGAATTGATTCGAATTTAATTGTTTTGAATAAAATTGAATTGAATATAATAGAATTGAATTGTTTCGAATAAAATTGAATTGAATTCAATAGAATTGAATTGTTTTGAATAAAATTGAAATGAATTGAATTAATATAATTGAAATGATTGGAATTGAATTGTTTTAAATAAAATTAAATTGAATTTAATAGAATTGAATTGATTCGAATTGAATTGTTTTGAATAAAATTGAATTGAATTGAATTTAATAGAATTGAATTGATTCGAATTTAATTGTTTTGAATAAAATTGAATTGAGTTTAATAGAATTAAATTAATAGAATGAAATTGATTCGAGTTGAATTGCATTTAATCGAACTGAATTGAAGAGTTGTTTATTTGAATTTTCAATTCTATTTATTTATTTATTAACTTTTTATTTTTAATCCACTTTCTCGTTTCCTTACAAATGTAAATCTCGAATTTAAAAATGAAAATTTATTCCAAAACGCATTAGTATCTATATCGAAAGCCCTTAATATTTAAAACATGAAAAGTGGAAGATAATTTTTTTTTTTTTTTTTTTTTTTGATTCTTTAGAATAAATTTTCAATATAACAACAAACGTCATTTAGGATGACAACAATTGGCGTCAAACAATCCTATTAGGAAGCTTTGTCCTCTCTCTCACTCTCTGCTTTTTATATATGCAAATAAGTATAAAGTGAGTAGATAGAATCGAAAGAACACTCGCGCAATGTGTTCAGAAAAAGATGAATGGTATAGTATAAGAGTAAGAGAGAATCCCTACTCCCCCATCTTAGCATAGAACTTGCATTTTAATGCCAACGAACGGTAATCTCCACTAGAGGAAGATATAGAACCATCTGTTCAAAACATTCTTTAAGGAGGGTAAAAAAGATAAAAAAGAAAAACAAGACTTTTCATTCTTCACCTCCTATCGGTAATTTTCCTAAAGTGGAAGAATTTTTCACGCCTTTTTTAAATGAATAGTGATTAGTAGGGACTTAATCTTGTTTTTTATTCTATTTGACAAATTTTATTTTTAAACTGTTATTTAAATTATTTTTTTTTAATTTATTATATTATAATATAAAATTATTTATCATTTTCTATATTTTATTCCTTTTTATGTACTTTTTTCTTTTTAATTTATTGAAATTTCAATTTAATTAGAATTTTTTTATTCAATTTCATTTTTTAAATCAAATACAATTTGTCAATTCAATTTCAATTTTTTAATTTAATAATTTAAATTCAATTTTTCAATTTTAATAATTTCAATTTAATTTCGATTTTTTAATTTCATACTTTCAATTCTCCAAGTCAATTTCAATTTTTCAATTCTATTTCAATTTTTCAATTCAATTTTATAATTTAATAATTTCAATTTTTCAATTCAATTTCAATTTTTTAATTTAATAATTTAAATTCAATTTTTCAATTTTAATAATTTCAATTTAATTTCAATTTTTTAATTCTATACTTTCAATTCTCCAAGTCAATTTCAATTTTTCAATTCTATTTCAATTTTTCAATTCAATTTTATAATTTAATAATTTCAATTTTTCAATTCAATTTCAATTTTTTAATTTAATAATTTAAATTCAATTTTTCAATTTTAATAATTTCAATTTAATTTCAATTTTTTAATTCTATACTTTCAATTCTCCAAGTCAATTTCAATTTTTCAATTCTATTTGAATTTTTCAATTCAATTTTATAATTTAATAATTTCAATTTTTCAATTCAATTTCAATTTTATAATTGAATGATTTCAATTTAAATTCAATTATTTCAATGTTTCAATTCAATTTCAATTCTTTAATTTAATGCTTTCAATTTTTCAATTTAATTTCAATTTTTAATTTAATTATTTTATTTCAATTCAATTTCCAATTTATATTTCCATAATTTCAATTTTTTAATTTTATAGGTACTTTTAATTCTCCAAGTTAATTTCAATTTTATAATTTAATAATTTTAATGTTTCAATTCAATTACAATTTTATAATTTAATAATTTCAATTTCTTACTTATATAATTTCAATTTTTCAATGTAATGTCAATTTTTTTATTGAATTTCAATTTTTTAATTTAATTATTAAAATTATTTTTAATTTAATTTCAACTTTTTAATTTTATATTTTCAATTCTCCAATAATTTTTTTATTCAATTTTAATTTCTCATTAAATTTCAAGATTGTTATTAAGTAATTTCCATTTTTTAATTCAATTTCAGTATTATTAATTTAATACTTTAAATGTTTTAATTCAATTTCATGTTCTTAATTTCTTAATTCTTAATTTCATGTCCAATTTTTTAATTTTATACTTTTCAATTCTCCAATTTAATTTCCTTTTTTTTGATTCAATTTTAATTTCTAATTGAATTTCTAGATTTTAATTTAGTAATTTCAATTCTTTAATTCAATTTTAATTTATTAATTTAATACTTTAAAGGGTTTCATTCAATTTTATGTTTTTAATTTAATAAGTTCAATTTTTCAATTCAATTTCAAGTTTTTAATTTAGTAGTTTCAATTTAATTTAAATTTTGTAATTTTTAATTTCAATTCTGTTTTTTTAATTAAAATTCGATTTCTGAATTCGAATTCTGAGTTTCTATTTTTAGGTTAATTTGAATTTTTTTTTTAGAGAGAAATATTAAATGTATTTTAATAATTAAAAATTAAAGAAAAAAAACTATGAATATATAGAAAAAAAGATACAAAGTTAGGCTCCAATAGAGGTTATACTATACTTATCGTGTAAGATAAAAAATTATCTAATCTAGAGTGCGCTTTTAAAGCCCATAGTTATAAATCTTCCATAAATTTAAAAAAAATTGAGAAAAAATTATTTTGTAGAAGATGAGTAATTATCTTATTTTAATTTTTAACACAATTTATTATGAATACTGTCCGAGCGTCAGCATTCATTGTTATATATACTAATATAAGCATTACTTTTTTGACTCATTAACTATTTTATATTTTAAAACATTAAAAATTATTTTATAATTTAAAGAACAAAATTTTCTAAATTTTATTCAAAAAAACAAAAGTTATTTTATTACATTTAAAAAGACAAACTTTTTTATTTTACTAAATTATTATTTATTTATTTATAAACTTCTTATTTTAAATGATTTATTTATAAATTATTATTTTACTAAATTACATTTTTTTATTATCTTACCAATAATTATTTTATATTCTTTAATATTACTTTGTATTTAAATAATTTTTATAGTTAATGTATATAATTAAGAGCTCAAAATATAAAGATTCATTAAAAATTAAATATTAAACAAATTATCCCCCCCCCCTTTTTTTCAGTTAAAATAAATAATTTTTCCTATATGGAAAATTGTCATTAATATCAAAGTTTTTGTAACTGAAATTAAAAACAAGAAACAAAAAAAATCCTTACTAACGAAAAAGAAAATTAATTAATAAATAAACAATTACAAAAATTATTTCAAATAATTAAAAAGAAGAATTATTAATAAATAAACATTACAATAAAATTATTTCAAATAACGAAAAAGAAGAAATTGCAAATAAATTAAAAATATAATAAAATAAAATTATTATAATTGTAAATAGAAAAATTAATTAAAACGAAAATGAACGTACTCGTTGCAAAAATTGGCGCACGCGTGACAAAAAGGACACTTCCCTCACCCCCCCAAAAAAAGGCAAAAAAAAAATTTACTTTTTTGAAGAACTTTATTTCACAGGGGGCGAGTTTTAGTTAAAATGCAAAAATTGACGGTTCGGCTCAAAGTTGCGGAGTGGGGATAGATTAGCGAGCGTCGTATTGGCGAATGGAAGCAGGTGCGCGGAAAGAGGGGGGAAGTGGGCGGACGATTGCCGCGAAATTCGATGTACGATAAAGGTAGGTAGGAAAGAAAAAAAAATGGGATTACGATTAAATCTCGCGAGATGTTAACACGAAATATTGTTAATTAATATTTATTATAATAATAATAATAAAAAACGAGGAGGGAATTCGCGGTGCGGTGGACAATGTAGTCTCGCAACGAAAAGAGAACCATCCGCACGCACGTTGCGCCGCATGACGCGCGACTGTTGTTCGGTTTCTCGCTGCGATCAGATCCTTCCAAGCATTTCTCTTTTTTTCTCTCTCTCTCTCTCTCTCTCTCTCTCTCTCTCTCTTTCACTCTCTTGCTCGATTCGTCACTCACTCTTTCTCTCTCTCTCTCTCTTGCTCCGTTCGTCACTCTCTCTCTCTCCCTTCGTTTCTGTCTCTTGCTCCCTACGATTCTTGCTGTCTCTCTCTCTCCCTACGATTCTCTCTCTCTCTTTTTCCTTCTCCCTACGATTTTCTCTCTCTCTCTCTCTCTCTCTCTTTCACTCAATCGTCAAATGTTTCTTCGTCTCGAGTATGTTTTTCGCTGTCTTTCACTCTCTCATCAAATGTTTCTCCGTCTGGACTCTCTCTCTCTCTCTCTCTCCTTCACCCACTCTTTGAATTACACTCTCTCTCTTGCTCTTTTTCTCTCACTTATCAAATGTTTCTCCGTCTCTCTCTCTCTCTCTCTCTTTCACTCACTCATCAAATGTTTCTCCGTCTCGACTGCGTCTCCCTTGCGTAGGGAGAGAGAGAAAGAGAGGAAAAAATAGGGAAAAAGAGAAAGAAATACAGAAAAAGAGAGAAAAATACAGAAAAAGAGAGAGAAAAACAGAAAAAGAGAGAGAAATTCAGAAAAAGAGAGAGAAATTTATAAAAAGAGAGAGAAAGAGAGGAAAAAAGACAAGAAAAGAGAGAAATAGAGAAAAAGAGAGAGAGAAATTCAGAAAAAGAGAGAGAAAGGAAAAAAAGGGATAAGGAAGGATAGAGAGAGAAAGAAAATATGGAAAGAAGGAGAGAGAGATAGAGAAAATAGAGAAGGAGGAAGAGAAAAAAATATAGAGAAGAAAAGACAGAGAAAATAAAGGGAGAAGGAAAAAAAAGAGAAGGAAAGACATAGAGAGAGAGAGAAAATAAAGGGAGAAGGAAAAAGAGAGAGAAAGAAAATAAGAAGAGAAGGAAAGACAGAGAGAGAAAGAAAATAAAGAGAGAAGGAAAGACAGAGAGAGAAAGAAAATAAAAAGAGAAGGAAAGACAGAGAGAGAAAAAAAATAAAGGGAGAAGAAAAAAGAGCGAGAGAGAGAGAGAAAATAAAGAGAGAAGGAGAGAGAGAGACAGAGAGCCATAACCGGACAGCCGGCCTGGCACGGCGTCTGTCAGGCCGGGGTCTCTCTTTCGATCGACGCGCCGCCACACCCTGTCTCACTTTGACTACCGAATCTATCCCCCCCTTTTTTCTGTCTCTCTCCCCCTTCCTCTCTCTCTCTCTCTCTCTTCATCCTCTTTGCTTGTTGACTCGAGTGGCGTGTTAGATCTACTAACTACACACTCTCTCTCTAGCCACCCACGTTTATGAAAACCTAGAGAGAGAGAGAGAGAGAGAGAGAGAGAGAGAGAGAGAGAGAGGGAGGGGAGGAGGGGGACAGGAACAAACTCTCGACGACGCATTCGTTGCGTTGGCGAACCAACTATTTGGGGTGCCACATCCGATGAAATTAGAGAATTCCCATTCTTTTTTTTCCATCTACCCTAAAACAACAAAAACCACCTTTCCCAACAAAAAACAGAGAGAGAGAGAGACAAATATCCGCTTTTGTATTTTCTTTTTCGAAAAAGTTTCACTTCTTTGAAAATTGAATATCAATTTTTGTAATCTTACATAATTCGACTGGAAATTGGTGGCAAGCTTGCAGAAAGTTTGCAGCTTTAGTTGGTCCCAGGCTTGCAGAGTATTTACAGCTTAAGCTTGCATCAAGCTTGGAGAAATATGACAGATTAGGCTTACACCAAGCTTGCAGAAAGTTTACAGCTTAAACAAAAGCACCAAGCTTGCAGAAAGGTAAATCTAAAGCTTGCAGTCTAAAATTTTTGCAAGCTTGGTGTAAGCTTAAGTTAAAAAAGCTCTACAAGCCTGGGGCGAGGTAAAAAATGCTTGGTTTAGAAAAGCTTGGTGGAACCTTAAGCTGCAAACGTTCTGGTAAAGCTTAAGCAGCCACCAAGCTTGATTTAACTTGCCCCAGGCTTGCAGAGTGTTTTTAACTTAAGCTTGCACCAAGCCAGCAGAGAATTTATATATGCTTGCAGAAAGTTTAAAGTTTGAGCTTTCAACAAGTTTGTAAAAAGTTTCACCAAGCTTGTTGATAGATTAAAGTATAAGCTTGCACCAAGCTTGCGGAAACAAGAAAAAGTTTAAAGCTTAATCTTGCCTCAAGGTTGGGAAAAGAAGTAAGAACGTTCAAAGCTTACAGCTTAAGCTTACATCAAGCTTGATTTAGCTTGCCCTAGACTTTTAGACCGTTTTTAATTTGAAGCTTACACCAAGCTTGCAAAGAATTTCCCTAACCATGCTGAGAGTTTAAAGCTTGAATTTGCAACAAGTTTGTAAAAAGTTTCACCAAACTTATAGATATAGTTTACAGTTTAGGCTTGCACCAAGCTTGTGGAAACGAGCAAGAACTTTTAAGGCTTGTCCTAAGCTTGGGGAACCAAGCAATAAGGTTTCAAGCTTATCCTAAGCTTGGGAATCAAGCAAGAACGTTTAAAGCTTAAGCTTGACCCAAGCTAGGGGAATCAAGTAAAAACGTTTAAAGGTTGTCCTAAGCTTGGGAAACGAGTAAGAACGTTAAAAGATTAATCTTGTCCCAAGCTTGGGGAATCAAGTAAAAACGTTTAAAGCTTGACCCAAGCTTGGGGAATCAAGTAAAATCGTTTAAAACTTGTCCTAAGCTTGGGAATCAAGCAAGAACGTTTAAAGCTTAAGCTTGACCCAAGCTAGGGGAATCAAGCAAGAACGTTCAATGCTTGACCCAAGCTTGGGGAATCAAGTAAAATCGTTTAAAACTTGTCCTAAGCTTGGGAATCAAGCAAGAACGTTTAAAGCTTAAGCTTGACCCAAGCTAGGGGAATCAAGCAAGAACGTTCAATGCTTGACCCAAGCTTGGGGAATCAAGTAAAATCATTTAAAACTTGTCCTAAGCTTGGGAATCAAGCAAGAACGTTTAAAGCTTAAGCTTGCCCCAAGCTAGGGGAATCAAGTAAAAACGTTTAAAGGTTGTCCTAAGCTTGGGAAACAAGTAAGAACGTTTAAAGCTTAAGCTTGCCCCAAGCTTGGGGAATCAAGCAAGAAAGTTTAAAGCTTAAGCTTGCAACTTGCAAGCAAGCTTTCTTCAATCAAGCTTGAAGAAAGTTTAAATTTTATTTTGCCCCAGACTTACATATAGGATTCTGTAACTGTAGCTTGCATCAAGCTTGCTGCGCAAGTTTGGCGGTTGGGACATTTAAGCTTGAGATGAGGTTGTATTGCAAACTTGACGATTGTAATATTTTTTTAACTATAGTTTATATACACGCAATCTGGAGCACGAATACAGAAGCGATGATGAATCATATTTTGAGGTTATACATGGTGGAGAAGACAACCTCGTCCTGATTTGCTTCATACTCAAATATGTCATCAGTCAATCAAGCCATAAACCGCGAATACAAGAGACGTGATTGTGGTCATGACATCTCATCTCGACTATTACTCCTGTGATGTGTAATATTGAACCGAAATTCGGATCTAAATAACGGGAATTTCCGCACAAATAGGTCAGCAAATAATTTTGGAGAGGGGAAATATTTTTTTCAAGATAAAGTGCAATTAGACGATATTCAAATTAATTCAATTCATTTCAAATAAAAAAAAATTCAATTCAATTCGAATCGATTCAATTCGATTCGAAACAATAATTCAATTCGATTAAATTCGAAACGATTCAATTGGATTTAATTACATTTAATTCAATTCAAACCGTTTTAATTCAATTCAAAACGATTTAATTCGATTCAATTCTATTCCATTCGAACCTAGTCAATTCGAGTCGAGTCCATTAAATTCGAGTCGGACTAAATTAAGTCAATTATAATCAATTAGAACCCATTCAATTCGATTCGAAACAATTCAATTCGATTGAATTCGAAACGATACAATTGGATTCAATTTAATTCGAATCGATTCAATTCCATTCGAACCTAGTCAATTCGATTCGAAGCTATTCAATTCGATTTAACTCAATTCGTTTCAATTAGATTCAATTCGAATTGATTCAATTCAATGTGAATTAATTTAATTCGTTTAAATTCGAATCGAGTCATTTCGATTCAATTTAATTCGCTTCGAAACGAGTCAATTGGATTCAATTTAATTCGAATCGATCCAATTCCATTGGAACCTAGTCAATTCGATTCGAAGCAATTTAATTCAATTTGAAATGATTCAATTCGATTCAACTCAATTCGTTTCAATTGGATTTCATTCGAATTGATTCAATTCAATGCAAATTAATTTAATTCGTTTTAATTCGAATCAAGTCAATACGATTTAATTTAATTCGTTTTAATTTGAATCGAGTCAATTCGATTCAATTTAATTCGATTCGAAACGATTCAATTTAATTCGAATCTATTCAATTCCATTCGAACCTAGCCAATTCGAGTCAATTCGATTCGAAGAGATTCAATTCAATTTAATTCAAATCGATTCAATTCGATTTAACTCAATTCATTTCAATTTTATTCAATTTTATTCGATTCAAATTTAGATATTCAGATTTCAAGAGTAGAGTTAGGATTAAGTTAGATGGTTAAGGGGGGCTTGGAATTAATTTAGAGAGTACTATTTTTGCAAACGTATAAGATTAATAAATAAAGTATAAAAATAAAGTGACAGAGAAGAGAAATTATTCGATGATAAGTAAAAGTGACAATGATTCATTTCTGATTCCCTTGGATTTTTCCCGTTTTCTCCTGATGGTATGGTGAAAAAAGGAAGAGTACTGATGGTCATTAAACCGTTCGCGGCGGAGCATTTGAAGTAAAGCGCCTCTGGGCCAACGACCAGTCGTTTCCCTTCAAGATAAACAGCGTTTGGTCAGTTGATATCTCTCGACGGATTCATCCTGCAAACTTTATAGTGTGTGGGTTTGCTCTATAAATCGGAAGCTTTTTTCCCTCATCGATTTTGCTTCTTAAGTTTATTTTCAAAAAAAA